ACTGTGCACCTCGGATTGGGACTTGAACTCACGTGCCGGGACTCAAACCCAGCCTAAACTCAGATTGGAACTTGAACCCATGGCCTGGGACTCTAACCCAGCCAGAACCCACTGTCTTTTAATTGAGATCACACACCTGGTTTCAGGACTTAATAAAGCTCAGGTTCTTGATGTCTCATCACAGAAAGAATTCAGTGAGAGACAAAGTGATAGGTAAGAAGTGGATTTATTTAGAGAGAAACACACTCCGTAGACAGAGTGTGGGCCATCTCAGAAGGCAAGAGCCCCGAAATATGCAGTGCTTAGTTTTTTTGGTTTTTTTTTTTTTTTTGCAGTACGCGGGCCTCTCACTGTTGCCGCCTCTCCCGTTGCGGAGCACAGGCTCCAGATGCGCAGGCTCAGCGGCCATGGCTCACGGGCCCAGCCGCTCTGCGGCATGGCATGTGGGATCTTTCCCGACCGGGGCACAATCCCGTGTCCCCTGCATCGGCAGGCGGACTCTCAACCACTGCGCCACCAGGGAAGCCCTGGGGTGCTTAGTTTTTATGGGCTGGGTAATTTCACAGGCTAATGAGTGGGAGGATTATTCCACCTATTTTGGAGAAGGTGAGGAGATTTCCAGGAATTGGGCCCCACTCACTTTTGGCCTTTTATGGTTGGTCTCAGAACTGTCATGGTGCCTGTGGATGTGTCACTTAGCATATGCTAATGAATTACAATGAGTATATAGTGAGGCTCAAGTTCTACTGGTAGTCGAATCTTCTGCCATCTTGAACCTAGTTGGTTGTAACCAGTTTGTGTCATATCCTCAATGGCTATGTCATTCTTTTAAAGGTTGTGCCCTGCCCCCTTCCCTCCTGTTTCATTAAGGGAAAGACAAATACCATATGATATCACTTATATGTGGAATCTAAAATATGACACAAATGAACTTATCTACAAAACAGAAACAGACTCACAGACATAGAGAACAGACTTGTGGTTGCCAGGGGGGATGGGGGGAGGGGAGGAATGGGTTGGGAGTTTGGGATTTGCAGATGTAAACTATTATATATAGAATGGATAAACAACAAGATCCTTGGAGCCCACTCCATAGAGGATCTTATAGGAGGTGTTTACGGTCCAGGTCTGTAAATGGAGCACTTCACCACCACCCACAATCTATAGCACAGGGAACTATATTCAACATCCTGTGATAAACCATAATGGAAAAGAATCTGAAAAAGAATATGTGTGTGTGTGTGTGTGTGTGTGTGTGTGTATACACATATAACTGAATCACTTTGCTCTCCAGCAGAAATTAACACAACATTGTAAATCAACTAGACTTCAACAAAATAGATTTCTTTTTTAAGTTTCTTTCTGAGTTTTTCTGGCCGTCATCATTTCCAGCTCAACATAATCTACATGCCAAAGAGACATCTTGGGGTGGCAAGTTCTGCTCCCCTACACAGATAACAGCTGAAGTCTGGGTCTCCCCCACTCCCTCTACCCCCGCAAAACTGCTCTTGCCAAGGTCATTAAGGGAAATGACAATAGCTATTGTAATAGACAAGTCCTAAAATCTCAGTCGCCTGACACTATGAAAGTTGATTTTTGTCCGTGTTACAGTGCAGTGCAGGTTGGTGGAGAGGGCATGGCTCCACACAATCATTTAGGGCTCCAGACTCCTCCATCTACAAACCCATTCTCCTCTGGGTGCTTGGAGCCAACTCCATAGAGGATCTTACGGGAGGCGTTTATGGTCCAGGTCTGTAAATGGAGCACTTCACCACCACCCAGTCTATTGGCCTGAATTTGGCCACTCGGCCACACCTACAGGTACGGGAAGCTGGGATGTGTCGTCTAACTCAGGGAGAAGAGGCAAACTTGGTAACTAGTGTGCACCATCAGGGTCTACCTCAGCCCCCAAAGGTCTCCATGTCCCTACACCCAGTGCTCAATTCTTCAGCCTCATTTTACACCACCTACCAGCACATTGGGCAATGTTGGCCATCCCCCATCTTTTTGTTTTGCAGATTTTTTTTTTTTTTTGACAACACCATGTGGCATGTGGGATCTTAGTTCGTTGACCAGGGGTCGAACCTGTGCTCCCTGCATTGGGAGTGCCGAGTCTTAACCACTGGACCACCAGGAAAGTCCTTTTTCTTTCCCCCCCCCCCATCTTTTTGAAACACTGTTCTTGGCATCCTTACTTTCTCGGGGTTTTCTTCAACACTGCTAGACGCTCCTCTTGTTACCAGAAAACTGGATTCGCCTCTTGGTGGGTGTCGAGACAAAACACACAACCAAGCCAAAGATAGGAAGAAGGAAGGATTCATTACCTGCAGCAAGTAAGGAGGACACCTGGGATCTTTCCCAAAGCAGCGTCTCCCTGAACGGCAAGATTGGGGAAGTTTTAAGCTAACGGTATATACATATTCATGAAGGGGCCTGAGCAGAGGAGAATTCAGCATAGAATTGGAGCAAAGGCCCACAGAATCCAAGCTTTAGTCGACTGAAGTCAGGAGGATCATTGTTGTCCTCCACTTGGGTGGGGGCCTTAGTTCCCACCGAACTCAAAGATATATTATTATGTACATCCTTTGAGGATGAACTAGGACTCTGCTTTATCACTGCACTAGTGTCTGACTGCCTTTTCTCTGTTCCTGCATTCCTTTGTTCCTTTAAGATCACTTGTTACTGAGACCTGTTCAAGGGCAAGCATTGTGGCCAGGCTTAGATCACAAAATGGCTTAGGCCAAAATGGCTTCTCTTCTGTCCAGAAAACCATTCCTGGTTCTCTTTCTCTGGGGACCCCCTAACCGATCTGCTTACACTCTGCCACACTGAAGTGTTGGAGGTCCTCAAGCTGGATCCTGAGGCCTCTCCCCTCCCCTTTCTCTTCTCTGAGCAATCTCACCTGTGCCAGATGCTTCAATCACCACAGGTTGTACTCGTGACCTTGAATCTGTCTCCAGCCTGGCTTCTCTCCTGAGCTCAAGACTCTGGCATCAAGTAGACATCTTCAAGTACACATCTCAAAGTCAACATTCCCAAACTGTTAGTATCCTCTTCACCCCAAACCTACTCCTCTTCCTGGGTTCCCCCACTACAAATGGCACCATCAACCCTGGACATCAACCTCCTGCCTGGCTAACTGCAACAGTCTCCCAAACTGCTTGCCCACACTTCGATCCCCTACAAGGGTTCTCTAGGCTAGTGCTTCTGAAAATTCAGCTGCATAGAAATCACCCGGAGAGTTTGTTAAAAAGCAGATCCCTGGGCCCTACGACCACCCCATCCCCCCACAATCAGATTCAGATTCGATAGGCCTGGGATAAGACCCAAGAATTTGCATTTCTAACAAATTTGCATTTCTAACAATTGCATTTCCCCTAAGGTCCTCCCCTGGAGCAACCCAAGCTAATGATGCTGACGCAGGTGCTGCAAGTCCGTGGACGATACTTTGAGTAGCAAGGCTCCCTGCTCTGTCCAACTCGGAGGCCACTAGCCACAGATGGCTCTTTAAATTATTTAAATAAATTTTAAAATTCACTCCTCAGTGCTGAGACAGGCAGGAAGGGGGGCAGGGCACAACCATTAAATCCCCACCCCTTCTCCAAGATAGTTAGAATATTCCCCCCAATCATTAGCGTATGAAATTATCCAGCCCATAAAAACTAACCTCCCGGGCTTCCCTGGTGGCGCAGTGGTTGAGAGTCCGCCTGCTGATGCAGGGGACACGGGTTCGTGCCCCGGTCTGGGAAGATCCCACATGCCGCGGAGTGGCTGGGCCCGTGAGCCATGGCCGCTGAGCCTGCGCATCCGGAGCCTGTGCTCCGCAACGGGAGAGGCCACAACAGTGAGAGGCCCGCGTACCGCAAAAACAAAACAAAACAAAACAAAACAAAACTAACCTCCCCATATTTCAGGGCAACCTGTCACTTTCTGAGATGGCCCACACTCTGTCTATGGAGTATGTATCACTCTCAATAAGCCCGCTTCTTACCTATCATTTTGCCTCTTGCTGAATTCCTTCTGCAACAACACATAAAGAACCTGAGCTTCATTAAGTCCTGAGACGAGGTATGTGATTTCACCAGCGAGACTGTGAGTTCAAGTCCCCTCCTAAGCCAGAGATTGTGGGTTCAAGTCCCATCTGAAGTGTGACTGGCTTCAAGTCCCAACCTATAGTGTTTGTTTTCAGCAGCACTAGGCACATTTCAAGCGCTCAACAGCCACTTGAACAGCGTGTATTTATAAAACATTTCCATCACCAAAGAAAGTTCTACTGGACAGCCTTGCATGGATCTTGGTGACTGTTCTAAAAATGAAGGCTGATCCTAGGTCCCTCTTTGGCCCGCAAGAATTCTGAGGCTCCTACTGCCTAAAAGCTCACGCTTTGGAGATGCATAAAGGACGTCAGGAGTCGGGAGGGCACAGAGAACATTACTCAACCCAGGTACCTTCCAAACTTCTCAGCAAGATTCTGGGATCTTCCCGGACTGAAGGCGGGCCAAGAGCTTTGAGCACATTGGCTGGTGGTGGAGGTGGGGCGAGTTGCCAGCGCTTTCCTCTGATTGGGCATTTTCTCTTAGCAGAAAACCAATCATCGAGGGAGGTGGGGGCGTGGCCAGGCTCGCCTACAGGCCCTTCCGCGAGTTCCAGCGCCCACCCACCCTGCTGGCGTGTCAGATTGGTGGTGAGTTCTGAACCCCTACCGCCTAAGGGCCCCTTCCGCCCTGGAATCCCGCTCGCGGTAGCCGACAAGGAGGTGGGGCAGGTCCTCCCTCCCGCCGCGGGGAACACCCCTTCCAGCAGCCCTGAGCCCCCAGGTGTCCAGCCTCGCCCTCCCTGCGCTCAGTGTTCCCACCCCCACCCCCAGTGAAATGGGATTGCATTGTACCGGTGGCCTGGAGAGGCCCCCTCCTGACAGCCTCCTCTGCTGGGCATGATGGGTGGGAGGGAGGTGAGACTCAGGTGGGCCTCAGGACACGGAAGCCATGTCCCACAGGAGGATGGCTCTGGAAGAGGGCCGGAGCCTGCCCGAGGTGCGGGCGCGAGTGGGGGCTTCGCATGGCATCACCGACCTGGCCCACAAGCTTCACTTCTATGACCAATGGGCTCCGGATTATGACCAGGTAAACCGGCCGGGTCCTCACCTCTGCTTCCATCTGCTTGCCCGGCCTCAGTTTTCGTGTCTGTAAAGCCGGAATAGTGAGCCTTGCATCATCCCAGGGCAACGAATGTGAGAGGGAAGTAAGACCTGGGTGCAGTCCTGCAGTCCTGTCTCTTCTGGGACTGGCTCCTCTTCAGCGCATCTACAGTGGCCCTACCCTCTCACCAGCCCCATCTTCCAGACTGGCAGACCCTAGAGATCAGGAGCCAAGACGTCCCCACCCTGGGACTGCAGTCCAGGCAGAGGTGCCACTGAGGGGTCAGTATGAACTAAGCAGAGAGCCATGCCAAGGCCCACAGAAAAGACCCCAGCAGTGGGCTGAGGGCTACTCTCCAGTCCCCGCCCCTTGACAGAGGAAAGTACCTCATACCTGGTTCTCCCCTCACTGTAGTCCCAGCAGGCCCTGGGCCCCCAACACACACAGCTTGGCCGGGCTGACTCCTAGACCACCCAAAAGGAGGTCCCCCAAACACTGGGGCACGGGGTGGCAGTTGGTGCAGCACTCTGTCCCCAGGACGTGGCCGCTCTGCAGTACCGCGCTCCTCAGCTCGCAGTGGACTGCCTCACCCAAGCCCTTCCAGGTCCACCCCACGCTGCCCTGATCCTGGACGTGGCCTGTGGTACTGGTCTAGTGGCTGCAGAGGTGAGACCACCCTATATCCCCTGCCCTCCCTTCAGCCCCCACTTGCTCAAAATTCCTACTACCCCAGGCCGCAGATCCCCACCTCCCTGCTCAGACTCACTGGTTCCAAACACTTGGGCTACATCCACTGCGGGGACCACTGTCCTCCCCGAGGTGCAGGGACCTAACTGGGAGGCGGCAGGTATGAATTGTGACTGGGTCCCCCCACCTCAGCTGCAGGCTCGGGGCTTCCTCCAGCTGCATGGGGTGGATGGGAGCCCAGGGATGCTGGAACAGGCCCGGGCCCGTGGCCTCTACCAGCGCCTCAGCCTCTGCACCCTGGGTCAGGAGCCTCTACCCAGCTCTGAAGGTACTCCCCCACCCACTTCAGCACCCCAAGGCACACCCTCTGACCAAGCCCACCTGACGGAGCCCCTTTCTTTTGCCAAAACTCCATCCCCCTTGCCTAGCCCTCCACAAGCCCCCTCCCACACTGAGTCCTATTCTCTTTTCGAGCCCCCCAATCCCTCACTGAGACGCTTTCTCTGAAACTTCCGTCCCATGATCTGACCTCAGTCCAGGACTGAGCCACATCTGCCATATCCCCCACGGGATCTGGATCCCACAGACACCAGTGGCAGGCCTGGTCCCTCCCCAGGCCCCATGATGCGCACCATCTTCCAGGGTGGTCTGAGGCCACACTGAAGACAAACCACACCACATCCGCACCTCCACACAGGGACCTTCGACGCGGTGCTGATGGTGGGCGCCCTCAGTGATGGCCAGGTGCCCTGCAGTGCCGTACCTGAGCTCCTGCGGGTTACCAAGCCAGGTGAGAAGCAGCCCATCCAGCCACACGCAGGCACCTTCCCTTCTCCACACTCACGGACGCAAGCCTCAGAAAGCCTCAGGCCAAGCGAGAGTAGGGTTATGCCCAGGGTCACACAGCCTAGCATCCCAGCCACAGCTGCTGGCCCAGGCTTGGCCTCAGCTGCCACCATCAACAGACCCAGACAAACAGGCAGGGCAGGCAGGTTGCCAGCTTGCCTCTTATCCACTGGGAAACCGGAAACAATTCCACTCTCCTCTCCAGCCTCTATTTCCTCATCAATAAGTAGAGTGGCACAGTCCCTTCCCCGTAGGATTACAGTGAGAATTGGGTCAAGTAGTGTCTGTAAGGCCTGTGTTTCAGTCCTGGCACATAGTAGGGGCTCTGTTTAGTTCCCTCATCTTCCAGCTTCCCCACTAACCTAGGGGGAGTCTCTTTCTCTTTCGTGACCTCAGTTTCCTCATCTGTGAAATGGGGCTGCTCAGGTGAGATGATAGATGTGAGTGCTTTTCTATAAACTCCACAAGTGGGGCTGATGTGCAGGTGAGGGTTGTGTTTACTGTGCTGATACTGTGTGCCTTGCCCCGTGCTTGCTTCTGCCCTGGGGAGAAGGTACACACCCAACCCACATGCCCCAGAAAGGGGCCAGGGGAAAAAGACCAAGCCCGAGGTGGGCCCACAGGGTTGTGGGTGCTCAATGCCCTGAGAATTCAGACAAGAGAGGCATTTGGGACAGCTGGGATGGGGAGTGAGGGGCAGTCCACGCAGGAACACAGCCTAAGCGAAGTCCCAGGTAGAAAGGAGAGTGGTGGCGTGTGAGGACCACGAGGCTCAGACCTGGCTGCAGGACAGGATCTGGAAGCCCCGAAGGTGCCCCATCACAGCAAGATTGCATCTGCTCCCTGCCCCTTCACCCCTGCTGGGCTCAGCAGGGGCTCTGGCTAAGTCAAGGCAGGTCTAGGCAGGCCTCATCCTCAGGGAACCACAGAGGCTGACAGATGCAGGGACATTGGTGGCATCAGAGAGAGAGGTAGTGATCAGGCTCGGGAGGGCAGGAAACTCCCATCACCTGAACCAGTAAGGACCAGACCTCCTCCCCCAGCCTGTGCTTGCCAGTCCCCTCAGCCGGCCAGACTGCCTGCCCACATGTCACAGGCTCCTTGCTTCAGAGCCTTTCCTCTCACGAAGCCCCTCTCCGCCAGTAGCACCCTGCTTCTCCTTACCTCCTCCTCCAGGAGGTCTTCCAGACTCCTGTCTCTCCTGAGTGTATCTGAGCCGGCACTGGGCATACGCTGGGTACCTGGAGAAGACCTGGAGTGACAAGGTCATTCCTTCCTTCAGCCAGTGCTTACTGACTGTGCCGGCCTTCCTGTGAGGCAGGGTAACCATGCCTGCAAGCTGGGAGACTGAGGCTCCAAGAGGTGAAGGGAGTTGCCCAAGGTCCAAAGCCCATGAGCATTCAGACACAGCCATATCCTCCAGGAGAGGGGCTGGGTGAACAGTGAGAAGGGAGCCCCCTCTGTCAAGGGGATTCAGCCAAAAATTCCCAGCATAAAGGACACTCGGGGGCTTCCCTGGTGGTGCAGTGGTTGAGAGTCCGCCTGCCAATGCAGGCAGGGGACACGGGTTCGTGCCCCGGTCTGGGAGGATCCCACATGCCGCGGAGCGGCTGGGCCCGTGAGCCATGGCCGCTGAGCCTGCGCGTCCGGAGCCTGTGCTCCGCAGTGGGAGAGGCCACAACAGTGAGAGGCCCACGTACCGCAAAAAAAAAGACACTCGGGCCTTGAAAGGTGTGTAGGAGGCTGGTAAGCTGAGGAAGCAGAGGGTATTCCTGGGGGAGGGATCAGTGAGCACCAGGGGCTTGGAGATGGGAAAGGCTGTTCCGAGGACAAAGCTGGGAGAACTTCCTCCCTTGAGGATGTGAGCAGGAAGGGGACAACCTTCCTGTCCCTGGCTCCTGCCCCTCCCCCACTCACCTGCTCCTTCCCCACCCCTCCCCAGGTGGGCTGCTGTGTCTGACCACCAGGACCAACCCATCCAACCTGCGTTACAAAGAGGCGCTGGAGGCCACCCTGGCCAGGCTGGAGCAGGCCAGGGCTTGGGAACGCCTGGTGGCCTGGCCTGTGGACCAGTGGGAACTGGCCACCTCCGAGCTCGAGGTGGGGCCTGGCGCCTCTGACAGCGACAGCTTCATCTCCGGCATCGTCTACCTGTACCGAAAGCAGGAGGCAGCCCAGGCTGAGGGAGTGAGGCCCAGTGCCTAGCCCCCAGCTGGCCTCCGAGCCTCCATGAGGCCTCGGCCAGGCCCATCGTTGGGCCTCCTCTGCTTTGCCTGTAAAACAAGGCCGCTGCACCAACCCTGCCCCTCAGGAGAGCTATGCCAATTAAATGAGTCCCAGAAGCAGCAGCAGAACTCTGGCTCGGCGGTTTTCTCACCCCTGCAAAGAGTGACATCTGTCCCTATGGAGGACAGAAGAGAAAAAACAGGACAGAGAGGGACCCCATCCCTGGCTGTCCCTGTGCCAGGCACGATAGGGCCACAGATGTGACTCTGACCCCTCCTGGGGTGGAGGGCCCTCTCCCTCTAACTCACAGACCAGGAACCTGTGCTCACGCATCTGGGCCTTGGCCAAACACTTTCACGTGTCCAGGATTCGGTTTCCTCATCTCTAAAGGGATCGGAACGCGGAGCCGAGGGGCTCAGGGCGTAGCTTGGAGGCTGCCCCAGAGCTGGGCAGGTAAAAAGGCCTCGGTGACTGTCCGCACCAGCACCAGGTGGGGATGTGAACAGGGCTGATGATAATGCCTCCAGACAGGAGCCAGGGGAGGCTTAATGGAGGAGGAGGCGCAGAGCTGAGCTTTCGGGACTGGAATTCAGAAGGGTGGAGAAAGGAAGAGGGGCGTTCCAGGCTGAGGGCAGAGACAGCCTGAGCAAAGCCTGGGAGAAGGGACCTGGGGGGTGAGCAGACCAGCCTGGAGGCCCAGACGGAGCTGGAACAAAAGGAGGGGAGGGCAGGTGGCCCATCCCCCAGGGCTGGCTGTTCTCAACTTTCCTCCCTCCTACAGTCCCCAGCACTTTCCTAAGGTCCTGGGCTTTACGCTCTGACAAATGGAGGGCTTGAGCAAGGTGACTCCAAAGGTCAGGGCCAGTCGACGTCTCACAATTACCCAAAACCAGTTTTGTAAGTCTTCTGGTCCTGGCCACCACACGGTCGTCCTGCCCCTCACCACCCCCCTGCCCAGGCTTTCAACCCTGCCCTCTCCACCTCCGCAGCTGAAATCAGAAACGATACAGTCTTCCCGTGCACAGGTCCCATTTATTGTAGAAAATAATAGCAATTACCGTGACAAATAGTTTAAATTACAAAACAGAAACCACGTAGCAGCAGGGGAAAGCCCCAGGACTTCCTGGAGTTAGGACCAGAGAAAGAGCATTCCCCCTGCCTCTCCCAGGCTCTCCAATGACCTGGGCAGGGGCGAGGATCCAGCGGTGGCCAGTCTCAAGGGGCCCAGGGTCCTTCGGTGCCTGCAGGACAGGGGCTGGAAGGGGTGTGGGCAGCCTGGGCCACCTGTGGCCCCCTCCCCCACCACTACCCAAACCAGTTTGTAGCACCTCCGCCCCTCCACTCTAAACCTGTCCGTCCACTCTCTGCTCGGCAACTATGCTCCAAGGGCAGGTGGGTGAGCAAGGCGGCCCTTCTCGTGGCCACAGGTTTGCGTGGGCAAGGCACAGCCCAAGTGCTCGCTGACCCACCCAGAGGATGCTGGCAGAGGGAGTGGAGAGGATCACAGAAGGGGGCAGTGATCAACACGGGCATAGTCCCATGGTCCGCTGAACACCCACTCAGACGCAGAGCCCAAGCAAAATCAGGGCTGAGCCGTCCGGGCCAGCAGAAGCCACAGCCCCCTGTATCCACGGCCATTCCGAGGAGGTGGTGCAGGAGTCTCTCCATCCATCCGTGCTAGTGTTGGAGGTGACCTTGAGAAAATGTCCGAGAGGGCCAGGAGGGGCTGAGGGCTGCTGGCCAACGGCCTGGCTCAGTCCCTGCTTGGCAGGGCCATCCTGGGGTCACAGTAAGCTCAGTCCAGGGAGAAACAAAGCCAAAAGGAAGAGTCAATGGTAGCGCCTTACACGTAGTTGCTGGCTGGAGCGGAGCGGGCGGCAGAGTACTTGGCGGAGTAGGGCTTGTCGGTACGGGGCGGGCAGTTGCAGCAAAGCAAGGCCCCACCGAGCATCAGCATGCCAGAGGCGGCCCAGCCAATGTAGAGCGAGGCACCCATCTCCCGCTTCTGGCCCGAGGCCACCAGTGGGTTATAGAAATCGCGGATGATATTGTGGGCCGTCCAGGACACGGGCACCATCACCAGCAAGCCGGCCAGCAGGAACACCACGCCAGCCACAATCATGGTCTTGGCCTTGGCGCTCTCATCCTCCACGCAGTTGGTGCACTTGCCGCCCACCACCGAGAGCAGCACACCGAGCACGGCCAAGATGATGCAGATGACGATGAGGGCGCGGGCCGCCTGCAGGTCCTGCGGCAGCGCCAGCAGCGAGTCGTACACCTTGCACTGCATTTGGCCCGTGCTCTGCACCACGCAGTTCATCCACAGGCCCTCCCAGATGGTCTGGGACGTGACGATGTTGCTGCCGATGAAGGCCGTCACGCGCCACATGGGCAGCGCGCAGCTCAGTATGGCGCCCAGCCAGCCCAGCACGGCCAGAGCGATACCCATCACCTGCAGCCCCATGGAAGCCATAGCTTAGCGTCTGCTGGGGTCTAGGACCTGGAAGTCTGTGGGGATCCGGCCCTGGAGGCTGTAGGAGTCCAAGTGCCGAGGATGAACACTCAGCGGCAAGTCCAGAGGCAAAGCCAGTTGGAGCAGCTCCGGGTGCCTTTCCTGAGAGTCAGAGGCACAAACCCAGCGAGCGTAAGAGTGTAACAGAACCAGTTCCTTCCTGCCAACAGCTGCTGCAAGCTCTCAGGCTAAAGACTGGAGCAGTTATATGGCTCCGCGGGAGGGGCGGGGACCGAGGGAGGGGTTTCAGTCCCTGGAGCCGCCCCCTGACCAGTTTCTCTAGATTCCTGAGCCTGCCAACAAAAGAACTTTCAGGCCCCAGCCCTTGGCCCCTGAGTCACCATGCTGGAGAGCCAGTCTCAGAGGAAACTGCCCTTTCCCCCTGCCCCCAGGCCCATGCTGAGGTCATCCGGGAGATAGACACTGAGTCACAGCCTGCAAACACCTGGACATACCTGGGGGGCCAGAGGGGGGAGCCCGGGCCCAGCCAGGTTTGGGGCCTGAAGACCAGGGTCCCCACACCCCAGGGCTCCCTCATTCCAGGCTTGGGTGGTTGGATGGAAGGTGGCGACCTTCAGGGAGAGGGTCTGAGGATAGAGTCCTGGGAACGTCAAAGAGCAGCCCCACAGTGATTACTGATGTGAGTCCTCATCAGCTGCATCACTGGCCTAACAATTACTATTAAGAGTCTCGCCATCCATGCATCCACCTTACCCGTGTCTGGACATTGGCCTGATGTGGTCCAGTTTTAAGGACCAAGGAGCTGGGGGTCCTGGACTCCTGGGTCCATCACGTGCCCTCCCCATCTCTCACCACCATCACCTGGTTTCCCAGCCCTGCCGGAGGAGGGGTCTCGGAGGTGATGCCCTTTTGGCCAAAGAGAGAAGGAAGCCTGCCCTGCCACCTCAGAAGTTGCAGCCAGTTTCTGCTGGGGCTAAGCCGGCTTGGCCAGAATTAGGTCGGGGAGGTCACCAAGAGAAAGCCATGGGCCAGACCCTGGGGACATCAGTCCAGCACCAGGTGTTTACTTAGTGAAGATACACAGAACGGTCCTCCGATAAAGCCAAAATGGGAGCAAAGTCCCATGAGACTTGGAAGGAGATGAAAAACTCAGCTGGGGTGTAGGGGGTGGTGCCTGGGAGGGGGCCTGACAGGGAAGGGGAGTTGCCTGGCATAACTCCAGCGGGCACTGAATTCTTGGGTTGTGCTGCAGAGGCACTGATGACAGAAATCGCCGTGGACGGGGCCCTCTGGAGTTGGGCGAGGGAACAGCGAGGGCCAAGGTGCCCAAGGTGGGGAAATGCAGCTAGTTTTGGGAACCAGAACAGATTCAGAGGAATCCAGTCTGACCAGAGACGGGGTAGTGGGGGAGGGGCCAGAGGAAAAGAGCCAGAAATCTCTGCCTCTGGCATCTCGGAGCCCTGGGCTGTGCACAGAGGCTGTGAGACCAGCAAGGGCCTTGGATGCCAGGCTGAGAAAGGGGTCTGTGGAAACAGGATGGAGGTGAAAGCTGGGCAGAGGGCAAGGATTAGGAAGGGCCTGATTCAGGGCAGGGGCTTTGGGAACCTAAAGGAAGGAGTCACTGTGGTGGGGAGAGAGAATGGCCAGGCTCATCCTGGCTGGATCAAGGGAACCCCACCCCCTTTCTTCCCCACGTGCTGGGGAGCTCATCCCAGGGGCCAGGGCTCCAATGAGTCCCTGAGCCCCCAGCATTGTCCAGCCCTGTGCCTGGTGCCCTGGGGCAGCTGGGTGTCTAATCTGACCCTGGCAGTGGTCCCTGAGCTTCCCAAGAAAGAGAGCTATCCTGCGTGCGTGATTTGGGTAGAAGCCTTCTGTGAGCTATTTAAAGCGTGCTGACAGCCTGTGGAACCATAGGGCTGGCAGGGATAAGCTAGCGCGATGGGGAAACTGAGGTCCTTGTACTGTGGTTGACTGTAAACACTTCGGTCTCCCCTACAACGCTGGGGGCTCCTGAAGGATAGATATTCAGCCTCAGAGCTCAGCTCAGGGGTTGACACCTACTAGGTGCTCAACAAGGCAGGAGGCTTATCCCGGTTCCCAGCTGCCCTCCCCCACTCCCCCTCAGCCCCAGGCACACACACCAACACAAACAGGAATAGTTTCTGCCAGGACCACGCCTCCCTGGCGTTCTCCTTACCAGGCTTCGAGGAACAGCACGCAAACAGGCCCGTGGACTGAGCAACGGAGATACTGCCCTTCCAGAGGGACGATAAGCGCTTCCCTGCAGTGACCTCATCACAGCCTGTCTATCAGTAAGCAGGGCAAGGACTCTTACTGCCTTTGCACAGATGGGTGAACTGAGGCCCAGGGAAGGCCGTGTGGGGCTTGCCCAGAACAGGGTGGGCTGGTCATTCCAGCCCTTCAGTAAGGTTTCTGCCTACAGAGACCCTCACTCACCCCCTACACGCCCCCCCCACAACTTCCTGCTCTTGTTCTGGGACACAGCCGACTGGCACTTGGAGAAGCAGGAGTGGGGGAGGGGGAGCACACAGGCCCTATAACTTTCCGCCTGTGGCCCAACAGAAGTGACTAAGCAGCTGTCCTTCCCTGCCCAGCTCAGCCAAGCACTTCAGAGGCAGGGGAGGGGCTGAAAGCTAGGGGGAGGACAGGTGCAGGAGGGCCCAAGGCAAAGGGCAGGCCCAGGGCAGTGGAGCTCAGGTGGAGCTCGAGGTGCTCAGGTGTGAAAGAGAAACAGGAGCCAGTCCTGGGGGAGCTGTGAGCCCTCTGCACATGAGTGGAGCTGGAGAAATATTTGTTGAGGCTTCATTTACGCCAGGAGACACTGGCTGGGTCCCACACACCTGCTTCAGGAAAAACACCAGCAAAGCTGGAACAATTTTCCTACACCCACTCTGGCTCCCTGGGCCAGGTCCTCCCAACAGCTTAGACAATCTTTCACTGTGACACTTTACTAGTGTGTCTGCCATTCATTACTTTTGCTTTTGGGGCTGAGAGGGCAGGGTTAGCACTTATTTCTTTTTCTTTCTCCCAACATACACTGTCTAATTTTACGCCAATAGAACTGTATCTTACACGCTGGTTTTTATCAAGGACAGCGCTCTCCCCAGCCAGATCAGGTCACCCATCTCTGCCCATAACCCTCTCACCAGCCCTGTGACCTGGGGAAGCCAGCTCCATCTCTGGGCCTCAAGTTCTCTCTCTGTAAATTGAAGACATTAGCACCTTTCCCAATCTAAGACAGATGTAAAATAAGACGAGGACGTGAAAATGCTTTACGAGCTGAAAAGCTTGGGACCCTGAGGAGGAAAGAGCCAAGTTCATGTCACAAAGCATCAGGCCCCCAGCTCTGGTTCTACTCTCTGCACCGAAGGGGAGCTGGGACTTCTCAGACCCTGGTCCCCAGGGCCCCAGGGTCTCAGCCAAGTCTTTGATCACAACACACACATACATACACACACAGCCTTGTGCTCAGCTCCCTGCATATCCCTGGGAAAGTGGCAGATAAAGTCTCCCATCCAACCCTGAGGCGCCCTGCTGCCATCTGAGCCTTCTTTTTCCTTCTCTGGTCTGTGCGGGTCCACCAGACCCCTGCCAAGGCAGCCAGAGGAATCTGAGGTCTGAGCGGACCTGGGTCCCGGGACCCTTCACTCATCTCTGCTGGGACCAGGAACTCTAAGGCCAGGTGTCAACTTAAAATTATTCTTCCCCACCAAACATACGTTTTGATCTGTATAAAACCAAATGGCTAGGGCTTCCCTGGTGGCGCAGTGGTTGAGAGTCCGCCTGCCGATGCAGGGGACGCGGGTTCGTGCCGCGGTCTGGGAAGATCCCACATGCCGCGGAGCGGCTGGGCCCGTGAGCCATGGCCGCTGAGCCTGCGCATCTGGAGCCTGTGCTCCGCAACGGGAGAGGCCACAACAGTGAGAGGCCCGCGTACCGCAAAAAAAAAAAACCAAATGGCTTTTCTGAAGGAAAGAAAAAAGAAGAAGCCTCACTTTCAGCTCAGAAATCAGTCTAGTTGGAAGTTGGCTCAAAACGATTTATTTTTGCAGGAGTTCACTAACTTCTCTGCCCACAGACACAAGTTAAGATCCTGTTCTTTTTTAACCAGAGACAATGTCATTAAGTTAAAATTTTGTTTACATTTTAGTAAATAATCTGCAGTGGGGTGTCATAATTCTCTGTGAGTGTGAAGATTGTGTCTCTGAGTCACTTCAGAGCCATCGCCCTGGATGGTCCCAGAAGGAGGATCTCCTGGATGCTTCCAGCAAACAGGCGGTCACTTCCAGACCCCGGGCCGGTATGCGCTGGCCGCCTCCTGATGGCTCTGGCAACAATGGGGATTTCACTAGGGCAGGCCCAGCCCTGGCTGGGAGGGCTGGGCCCCAGGCTGGGACTTTCAGAATCTGGGGCAGAATGTGGTGGCCCTTTTATGGCTCTCTTCTGAGATGACCCCAACCCTCCCTGGGTTGAGTCCCAGCTCTGTCACTACCAATTCTGTGACACTGGGCAATAGAATTAAACTCTCTCAACCAGTTTCCTCATCCGGGAAAGAAGGACAACACCTCCCTCTGAGGCACTGGGAGGCTCCGTGAAAACACGGAATCAAGGCCCACTCAGTCCACTGAGATTCTTCTCGCCGCCTTGACAGGGGTCCGGCGGGCCCAGCCCAGGCCCCAGAAAGCCACGGGCCCTGGGCTCAGAAGTGGAGGCCAGGCCCTGGGCTGAGTGGGTAGCCCCCTGCCCGTAGCCTGGCAGCCCACACCGGTGGCCACCCTCCCCACTTGGCCCCGGAGGGGGTAATGACAGGCCTGGTTCCCCACATACACGGAGGGAGAAGGTGGGGTGGGGTGGCACCTCCAAGGAAGAGAAGCAAGGCCACGCTGCTGGCTGCAGCCCCACGGCCCTGGCACTTCTGGGAATGGGATGGAGGGATGGTGGGGATGGAGCTGGGTTCAGAGAGAGGGAGGGGCTGAGCGGGGGCAGGGGCGGGATGCGGGTGCTCTGAATGGGCTTGGCTAGAGAGAGGGGCTCAGGGGGGAAGGGCTCTGTGAAGTGGG